GTTCTATGTCTAATCTCTATGCCTATTATACCAAAAGGTAGAGATTAGCAGGTGGGGATCTGTACATTTGCATTAATAACAGGCTGGCTAGGAGAGACTTATACATAGTAAGATTTGAGACCCAAAGTCTTTGCAAGTTCCTATCTGAATATAATTAAGTTTAGAGTAATTAAATAGCAATATCAAAAATGAAGATGAATTATGTCTAAAAGCCTATTGTATTAGCCAATTACATTCTATTAACTGATTATAGATAGATTTAATGAGGCCTCAAAAGAAGGAGCCAAGAGTTTTCATTCTTTTTCCCTTCTTAAATTGCCCTGGTGGTTATCATTTAATTTAATCTGTTCAACTTGAAAGCATATATAAGTAGAACACAGGACTTAATGTTATAACCCTTCTCAGCTGTCCCATATCTCATGCATTTTTACTAATACAAATGAACCACATAACGGATAAAGTGTGCTTTTTTTTTTAGTCATAGATGGAAAGGAACTTTATGGACTGGTATGGAGAACTGTCATAGTTGAAACAACGTGGGTTCCTGTGAGATTAACCTTACACACTGCCTCCTCGTGTGGCCACTCACACAATCACTATAAAATTAATTCGTATGCACATATTTCAAAGAGTAAGTAATGGGACATTCATATCTTTGTATTGTGACCTTAGCATAGCACTGCTTGGCAAGAGGTGAGGCACAGAACAGAGTGGAAAGCTGAAAAGTAGATCTCCTCAATACTGCTTAAGTTTTGGCAGTCCTGAGTAAATTACACAGATATTCTTCTTCTCAATTACATATAAGAGTATATTTGTTACCAGTAGTAACACCACAATTCATTCATCCCTCTGGAAAAGAGCCACAGAAGGACTGCAGCGTAACAATGTGCCACTTCCATAGACATCTGCTTAGTCACAAACATTGGCTTATTTTCAGGGTTCTAACCACAAGGTTCCTTGGAATCATTCACAAATGGAAGACCGCCACTAATGAAGGGGAAAATACAGAAATCTTCTGAGTACACAAGACTGAAACTTAGAGACAAAGACTTCAGAGCTACTATCTAATGGATTGACATTTTCTTCCAATGTTGGGAACCAAAAAAATTATACCAGAAAAGTATGATGCATTATTTAAATGTTTAAAGTTGTAAATGTTAACATCACAAAGATAATAAATTTATGGGGCTGAAGAGATGGCTTCATGGTTAAGAGTACTTGCTGCCTGTGCAGAGGACCCATATTCAATTCCCAACACCTATGTCGGATGGCTCACAACTACTTATAACTCCAGCTCCAAGGGAACTGATGCCTGATTCTGGCCTCCACATGCACCTGTACGTGCATAGTGTGCATAAACTCACGCAGGCATACACACATACACATAAATAAAAAGTAAATAAATCTTAAAAATAAATACTAAATTAAATACTGAAGATATGTGAAACCAATTCTATTACTTTTCCTAGAATGGATTTCTACTTCCTTTTCCCATTCTTTCTGCCAATAGAAAGCCTGACCTTTCATTGAAATTTACTTGGCAGAGGAGAAAATGGTCTCTCTCAAACAAAGCTTATCAAGATCAGTAAGAATTCCTAGCAAAAGTACAAACCAGGTTCACAGGGTAATTTTCACACCTCATCTTTACTGTAAACTATTCATTTAAAGAATAAATAGTTAACATTCACAGCAATAACTGTATTTGGAGCCAGGTATTTTTCAAATGTAATATGTATTCTTTTTTGTTTTAAAGTAATTACATATACGCATCTTTGAGTCTGGCTTTTTCACTCAACATTACATTTTATTGTCTTTTTGTTTATTTGTTGTTTGTTGGTTGGTTCTCGTTTGTTGTTTGAGATACAGTCTCTCCATGTAGTCTTGCTGGCCTCAAACTCACTATGTAGATCAGTCTAGCCTGGAACTCACAGAGATCTACCTGCCTCTGTCTCCCAAATGGTGGGATTAAAGACGTGGGGTGACACACCTAGTCATTTTATTGTCTGTTATATCTAGGAATAGTCACAGTAATATTGTGCATTTTCTATCAGATAGTAACTTGACATATACTTAGCTGTTATAACACTCATCAAACTGATCATTCTTAACTCATTTAGAGACTGGATAAGGACCCTGACCATCAAGCAACTATAGGCAACAAAATCAGGATTCCAACTGAGAGCTGCCTCTCTAATCAGAATCAGTCACCACTCTGCCATTCAAGTATTTTACATACATCAATGATACACTCTAAGCCATCCCAATTACATTTTCCACAGAAACTAGTCTCTTTTTCACTTGTAATATTCAAGGTCTACCCAGAAAATAATTAATCAGCAACAAACACACCAAAAAAAATCATGATTACAAAGACAACATACAAACTTACTTGTAACTTTCCACCTGTTGGCAGGAAGAGACAGTAATGAAGGAATCTGTCCGGGAACTGTAAGCAAGAGGGCCAGGCAGAAGAGAACCAGGAAGAAACCTCCCAAAAGCATAGCTTTCCTGCTCAAACACCATTAACATTCCATCCATTGACTGGATACAAATTAAATCTCGACCTAAAGAAGAATTAAAAGAAATTAGATAATCTACTTTTGATAAATATGTGGTTTTAATTACAATGTTTTATAGTTAATAATCACTACTCACCTCAAATATATCATAGTCAACTTTTCCCATACAGAGCAACCCCAAAACAGTTTCAATTTTAAATCATAAACAAATGAAGATATAGTTATTAATATGAATATACACATACATTTCTCAATTTTTGTAATCAGAAGGTGTTTATGCTTTTTTAAATTCTTTTATTGAATTTTTGTGCATTTCATACAGAAAATAATCATTTTATTCCCTTCCCTTTTGGCATCCTCCCATAGCAACCCGACTGGAGTTCATACATTCTATCACTTGTGTTTAGGCCTATCATGTAAAGTTAGTGTCCCCAGATGTCCCTCAAGGCAAGTTCATCCACTGGGACCTTGTCAGCCTATCTAGAGTCCCTCCCTTTAAAATTTCTATTGTCATAGTTTAGTCAACTAGTTTAAGAAACAAAATATATATCTAGTCAAGGGGGCAATCTCAATCAAAATCCCCATGACGCACTTCACAGAATTGGAAACAACCACCCTTAAATTCATATGGAGGCAAAAAAAGATCCTGGATAGGCAAAGCAACCCAGAGCACAAAGAGCAATGTTGGGGAGATTACTATACCATATCTCAAAGTATACTACAGAGCCATAGTCATAAAAACAACATGGTACTGGCACAAAAACAGAC